TTCTAGCACAGCCAGGGCTATGCAGAGAAACTCTGTCTGGAAAAAAAATAAAAAAGAAAAAGAAGCATCTGATTCTGTCTTGAGTGTCAGGGAAGGATTTGGTTATATGGAAGAAAGCAGCTAAAACAATGCCCAGAGCAAAGAGTAGAAAGGACAGTTTCACAGGGACAGAACAGATTAAAGATGCTTTCACAACTCACTACTTCAAGAATGCACAGGCGGTAGCAGAAAAAGCTGAAGCCAGGTGGGTGAGCAGGAAGATGCTCAAGGACAGGGTACTGGGAGGTCAGGGAACCAGCTGGGCACACTTAGAAGAAGCAAGGTCTTTGTTCCCTTTGCTTCCAGGATGGGCAGTTGGCAGTACTCAGGAGTTATGGAACAAGAGTTAAGGAATCAACTCAAAGCCATAAGAGTAATTCAAAGAAAAAAGCTGACATCCCAGACCTATGTGTCTCAACTTTAGTACTATGGAGATTTCAGCAAAATAACTCATGTGCAACATGGGGTATTTTGTACCACCACCCCCAGGCTCCACTAATGTGACACCAACCCAAGCGATAATCTGAAATCTACAGATCCTGTCTAGTGTCTAGTTGGGTGACAAAATAGTCCCAGGTTATGAACTACGTAAGCCAAGGAGTGTTACAGAAAAGGGGAGGAAATAGGATTTCTAAAGCGGTTAACTAAATCACATTTTGTGAATGATGAAAGTGGTTAAGTGGTTGGGGCTGTCAAGATGGTTCCACAGGAGAGATTGGCACTTGCTGTTAAGCCTGAGGACGTTAGTTCCATCCTTGGGATCCACATGCACACGCACTTCTCTCTCTGTCTCTCTCTCCTTCTCCCTCTCTCCACTTATTTCAGTGGTTCACAACCTGTGGGTGATGACTCCTTTGGGGTTCAAATATCAGATAACAGTAGCAAAATTACAGTTATGAAGCAACGTTATGGTTGGGTGTTATGACAACGTGAGGAAGTATGTTAAAGGGTCACAGCATTGGGAAGGCTGAGAACCGCTGCTCCAGTCAGTGCTGGGTGTTAGTGGGTACTTAGGAATATTCATTTAGTGATCATTGTTTAATGAGCTTTCGATTAAAAGTTCTGAAAAAAAATTAAAGAAAAATTGGTCTCAAGTTGAATGTATTACAATAAATACGTTCCTTGCATATTACCTAGTTGCTCTAGGTTGTTAATACAGATCTTAATGTTTTACTATCTCTTTCAGCTATTTGATGGCATTGAATGTGAATTTCCTATATTTTTTCTTTACATGATGATTGATGGTAAGTGAACTTTTTCTGAAAATTAAGATGCAGAATACATGTGGCTTAAAGAATAGCTGAGGTTTGGGCAGGTGGCTCAGTTGGTAAAGTGCTTGTTCTGCAAGCATGCAGACCTGAGTCTAATCTCCAGCACCTGCCTGAAAAGCACATCTGTAATTTCAGTGCTAAAAGGCAGGGATAGGTAGACTCTTGAAGCAGAATAGTGAGCTCCAGGTTCGGTTCAGAGAGCCCGTCTCAACGCTGGCGAGGGCTAGGAAGACAGCCAGTGTCAGCCTCTGCCTTATACACACGTGCGTGTTCACCTGTGTGTACACGGTAACATGCACACGTTAAACACACAAAATACAAATAATGAACATTGCTGCAATGAATGATTCCTGTCATCTAGCAAGAGATTGGACTCTAGCGATGGTAACACTCTGCATTTCATGTTGTTCTGCTTTTTGGGTGCATGTCAACCTTTAAAGAGCTTTTTAAAATCTCATGTGTATGTGTGTATGTTGTGTGTGCATGATTTCTTAGGCATACAGATGCACTCACAGCATAGGATTGGAAGTCAGAGGACAACCTTAGATTTCTGTTCCAACCTTCTACATGCTTAAAGATTCCTAAAACCACTTTGAAGTTTTTTTAATTAAATTTTTATTTTTTATATTAATTACAGTTCACTTTGAAGTTTTTAATATTGATCCCAGTATCATGTTCATACTTATAAAGAAAAGTTTATTATAGAAGTCATGAATACTATGATCATGATATTGACTACCTGTAACATTCATGCATAAGTATAGTGAAATTTCAGTTGATTCAGTATTTAATTCTAAATGCTAACATGACTTTCTAAAATCAATCTCTATATAAATGTCATACATATTTGCATTCTCTTCAATGTAATGTTTTCATTTGCATAAAATTTGGTACAATAATCTTTAAAGGGCTTTGAAGTTTTTAAAAGGCAAAATCTTTGTTCTGCTTATTGAGCATAGCTAGTATTAGATTTTGTATTTTATGTTTTAGGTGTTTTTAGAGGCAAACTTGAACAAGTCAAAGAATATCAGGACCTTTTGACTCCTTTGCTTCATCAGACCACAGAAGGTAAAGTTCTTTTATCAAGAATTCTGTCCACCAGCATTTCCTTGTTCATTTGAAATGTATATGAATCCTTTATAAAACACAATTATCTATATTATATTGAAAACTAAATGAGGTCTCCATTGAAATTAGAATAATCTCTGTTAATTTAGTTGCAGAGACATATTTTACAAAAGCAGTTGATTGGCATGACAGGGATGGTCATGGATGCCGGGGGTCATGGCTGCAGTGATGCTGAGGTAGTTGGAGACAGGATTGTGGGATGACTATGCTGTAGCTTTTTCTCTGTGTAGTGTTACAGTACTATAAAGAACCTAGTTTTTAGGCAAGTCATCAAAAAATGTATGACTGGGTGAGTGTCGTAGTTAGGGTTCCTACTGTAATGAAACACCATGACGAAAAAGCAAGTTGGAGAGGAGAGGGTTTATTTGACTTACACTTCCATATCACTCTTCATCATCAAAAGAAGTCAGGAGTCAGATATGGAGGCGCATGCCTGTAGTCCCAGCACTCAGGGAGGCAGAGGTAGGCAGATCTCTGGGAATTCAAGGTCAATGTGATCTGCAAAGCAAGTCTAGGATAGCCATGGGTATACAGAGAAATCCTGCCTTGGAAAAAAAAAGTGGGGGGGGGCGAGTCATAATAAAAACTTAAGCAGGGCAGGAACCTAGAGGCAGGAACAGATACAGAGGCCATGGAGGGAAGCTACTTACTGGCTTACTTTTCTAGGTTGCTCAGCCTGCTTTCATATAGAACCCAGGACCACCAGCCCGGGGATGGAACCACCCACAATGGACTGGGCCCTTGCCCACCGTTAATTAAGAATTTGCTTCATGGGAGCATTTTCTCAATAGAGGTTCCCTTTTCTTCAGATAAGCATAGTTTGTGTATCAGGTTGACAAAAGACTAGCCAGCACAGTGAGTGTTGCCCTCCAGTCCCAGCCCTGTCAGGCTGCTGGAAAAACTGCCTCTGGCTAAAGCTGGACCACTGACGGGACATTCTAGAATCTTCTTCGGAGATGCTTCTGAGGCTTTTAGTATTATATTTTAATGTTTGCACTTGTACCATGATGTCATTCTTTGAAGATGGGTTTAATGTTTTAGAAGTAGTCAAAATGTCAAATCTCAGGAGTAAGAATGTATTGGTTTCAGTCAAACACCAGCAGGACCCATAAAAAAGAGCATAATTGGACAATTCCCAAATGAATTCAAGAGCAGTATTCCTGATATCTTTGGGGTTTTAAAATATTAATAGAATTATAGTCTCATGAGAATAGGTTTGAAAATTTGTATGTAAGATACAACAAATATACCATCTTATGTATATAATACATGAAGCATTGTTCACAGTACTGGGCCCCATTTCTGTTGCACATGAAGTTTTTGACTGGGGGGGTGGGATTCAGGATTCCAGAAACACCTGAATAAAATATCTTATATTTTATTTTACTCTTTCAATGTTTATAATGTTAAAAGTTGTGCAATGCTTATGGATGAACATTTTTAAATTAAAAATAAATAATTTTTAAAAGGACTTATGTTTTCAGCATTCACTATGTTCTTTGAGAAATAGTGCAATAATGAAATATGTAAAATTTCTAGAATCAGGCCTGTTAGTAGTCAGGAGGGGATCATGAACCCATGAAAGGAGTCACCTATCATACTCTACTTTACAGCTTCATGTTCAGAGTTATGGTCACAATATTCCTCAGAGACCATAACTCCTTTCCCTAATTTTAGATACATATCAATTGGTGCATGAAGGAAACAGCAAAATTTTAAGGCTATTGTTTAATTTTATTATAAAAATAAAGTTTACTGTGCATTGCTGTTACAAAATAACTGTCTTCCGCACCCTACAAGGAACTTATCCATTAAATAATGATTTCATTTTCTGAAAAGTATATCTTTAAAAGATATGCTTTAAGAAAAGATTGGTTTTATTTTCTTCAGTGACACTGAATGACAGAAGACAGGCTTAATATTTAAACAGGGATTTATTTTCACTAACCAATGGCTCAGAATTATAATTCTTCATTAAAAATTAAATATCTCATTTGTAATGCTTCTATAGACTGAGCATATTTAAAATAACTTATGGTTTTGAATATTTATATACTACATATACATGTATTACTGATATATATGCCTATATATACATATGTATATATGTGTGTATATATAAATATATACACACACATGCATATTGACTTAAAGTTGTTTGCTGTTAAAGCAGATGCACGTACAAAGCTGCCTAAAACATATACGCTATTGAATTAGTTCCAAAGTCAATGAATTCTTCTCCAGGTATTTTCCTGCCAATATCATACTTCATCATACTTCTCTGTAGCTTACTGGGTCTGCTCTTGTACATCCCTCCTCTGTCCCTCACAAGTTCTTCAAGGGGAAATTTGGGGAAAGGTCTGTTTTGTTGTATTTGAATATGATTGTTTTTCTCTCTCTTTTTTTTCTTTTTAACTCTGTAGGATATCCTGTTGTACCAAAGTACTATTATGTGCCAGCTGACTTTGTGGAATATGAAAAAAAAAATCCTGGTAGTCAGAAGCGGTTTCCTAGTAACTGTGGCCGTGATGGGAAATTGTTTCTTTGGGGACAAGCTCTTTATATCATTGCAAAACTCCTAGGTAAGTGGAGAAGATTGGGAACCTATTTTCTTTCCCTGTTATCAAGTTGTTAGGAGTAAATACATCCTGGGTGATGTTTTTCCTTTAGGTGGAATTGGATTTGGGTGGAACTTCACACTGTTAGTTCTCTGGGGAGTTTCTAGATTGTCCAACAGTTTCAGAAAGAACGGGCTGTAGGTGAGGGTGCATTATGACTGCATGTGACTGTGCCTACAATCCGCTTGGAGCTTCTAGCCGAAGGCTGTGAGAACTTTGAGTTGGTTCTCTGTGATATGAAAACATTTCTGACTTATTCTGACACACATATTTGAGCAGTGGTTTAGTAAACTACTTGGTCATCTTTGAAAGTTGTCTTTTTTCCAGTAAATATATGTTGGTAATTTTTTTCCTACCTAGTAACTTAATGAAATGATTTATTTATAATTATTTAAAAATTATTTTGTAACCAATTTTTACAATTGAATGAGAACATCCATAAGCAAAGTTGACATAGACAAAAGACTTATTATGCATCTTTCTATCCCATACTTCTCTAAAATTTCTAGCATTACTAGCATTTTTATCGGAAAAGCTATCATTTTAGAGTCAGAATCCATGTATGACAGATTATGAAGCAAGCTAATTTAAAAAATCACTTCTGTATGAAATACTTTTGCCTTCATTGCTTTGAGAATTTGTATATAAATGTTTGCTTATGCTGGGAAAGTGGTTGTCTTTGGTTTGTTTTCATCATCCACGAGGGAAGATTTCAGAGGCCAGATCCCCACTGTTCAGTATGAGTTTTTCATACAGTTTGCTTTTTTTTTTTTTTTTCCAGTCTACAGTACATTTAACACTAACTAAGGGCATGTTGGAAAGTTTTCTCTCATTAAAAAGGGTTTTGTTTTGTCTCAGCAAATATTAGTTATACAGGTGTTGGTTTCAGGTTTGTAGAAAAGACAAAGAAAATTACTGGCTGGAACAGTTACATCCACCTCATTTCTGTGAATAGAAATGTTTTTGAGACTCAAAGATAAATTAAACACATTTTAGCCAAGGAGCAGTCAGCCAAGGTTCAACATTGCAGTCGTAAGTATTGTGTACCTGGAGACTGTAAGGGACCTAATGAAATTGTTTCTGTGATTCTGGGTCTGAAAACCAACTCCTGGAATCTCGGACTTAAAGTTGCAAGCCTTCCTTTTTCTGGTGTTTGGTAAATATCCAGCTTGAGTTGCTGCAGTTGGAAATAGTAGTGATAACCTACCAAGGCCCTGGGGAAAATTGAGGAACCAGGAAACAGAATCGGCAGCACACTCTCCATGAGCTTTTAAAATTGACCTTTAAGAAAAGGAAGTTAAAAAATGTTCTCCCTCAGCAGAAACTCCAGTCTCATTCCAAACCAAAGTGCTGATTGCATACAGGTCTTTACCATAGGCAGCACTTTCCTGTGAACAGCAATGTACAAATCATGCTTCATTTCTATTTCATGGCCCAAACAAGCAAGAAATGCTCTGAAGTGCCTTAAAAAAAAAAAAAGGCACTTAAAAAGTGCCTACCAAGGTACTGACAGGCGTTAGAGAGCCTACAGGAGGCATATTTCATGAAACCATGTGCAGATTTCCATCCGGGAAGAGAAAAGCTGTGTGGTATCCCATCCCACTGGCCTGGCTGTATCACCCCATCACAGGTGCTAAGTGGGGCAAGCCTTTATTCGCCAGTTAATTTAGCTGCTGCCCTGAGTTCATGAGCATTTCATAACCTATCAGCTGTCCATAAATGGTCATTAAGATTCTAGATATCGTATTTACTAACAAAGCTGTAGTTATTCATTACAGAAACCTCAGTTTGACATCTTCACAACATTTTATAGGCAATTAACTGGAGCTAGTATTATTATATGAGAATAATAACAAAGTGAATCTTTATAAATACTCTGACTTTCACTAATACAGGTGAGTTTTTATCCTACTGAAGTCTAGTGAGAATGCTATGCTGTGTGTGCGCCTAAGTGAATTTTATGCAACAAAACTATGCACCTTTTATTATTATTATCATTATTATTATTATAGTTATTAAGAAAGATAACATGTACACTGTATTCTGAATATCCACTGTTTTCAGAAAATGATTTATTTTTTACAAATCCTTTTTTTTTTGGAAAGTCAACTTCTAGAAAGTCAAAGTTCTATTTACTAAGTAAATTGTAACTGTTCATTTTAAATCACATGATATATGTTAATATCTGTTTGTCTTGTCTTGAAACTATCATCTGTAATGATTTTTTCTTAAGTAAATTTTTATTTTTTATATAAATTACAGTTTATTCACCTTGTATCCCAGCTGTAGTCCCCTTGCTCCTCCCCAACCACACCCTTCCTTCCTCCCTCATCCCCTCCAAGTCCATGGATAAGGGAGGACCTCTTCCCCTTCCATCTGAGCCTAGCTTATCTCGTCTCATCAGAACTGGCTGCATTGTCTTCCTCTGTGGCCTGTCAAGGCTGCTCCCCCATACAGGGGAGGCAGTCAAAGAGCTAGCCACTGAGTTCATGTCTGTCAGAGACAGTCCCTGTTCCCCTTACTAGGGAACCTTCTTGGATACTGAGCTGTCATGGGCTACATATGAGCAGGGGTTCTAGGATATATCCATGAATGGTCCTTGGTTGGAGAAACAGTCTCAGAAAAGACCCCTGTGCCCAGATATTTTGGTTCTGTTGCTCTCCTTGTAGAACTCCTGTCCTCTCCTGGTCTTACCATCTCCCCTTTCTTTCCTAAGATTCTCTGCACTCTGCCCAAAGTTTGTTTATGAGTCTTAGTATCTGCTTTGATACAATGCTAGGTAGAGTCTTTCAGAAACCTTCCATGGTAGGCTCCTGTCCTGTTTCCTGTTTTCTCCTTCTTCCAGTGTCTGTCCCGTTTGCCTTTCTGAGTGAGGATTGACCATCTTATCCAGGGTTCTCATTCTAGGTCACCTTCTTTAGGTGTACAGATTTTTGTAGGTTGATTTTGTATTATATGTCTAGTGTTCTCTTATAAGTGAGTATATACCATGTGTATGTTTCTGTTTCTGGGATACCTCACTCAGGATGATCTTTTCTAGTTCCCACGATTTGCCTGCAAATTTCATGGTTTCCTTGTTTTTAACTGCTGAGTAGTATTTCATTGTGTAAATGTACCACAATTTTGGTATCCATTCCTCAGCTGAGGAACATCTGGGTTGTTTCCAGGTTCTGGCTATTACGAGTAAAGCTGTTATGAACATGGTTGAACGAATGTCCTTGTTAGGTACTTGAGCAACTTTTGGATAGATGCCTAGGAGTGTTATAGCTGGATCTTGAGGAAGTGCTATTCCTAATTGTCTTAGAAAGTGCCAGATTTCCCTAATGGCTAATGAGGTTGAGCAAATCAAAACAACCCTGAGATTTCACCTTACACCCATCAGAATGGCCAAGATGAAAAACTCAAGGGACAACACATGCTGGAGAGGTTGTGGAGAAAGGGGAACCCTTCTCCACTGCTGGTGGGAATGTAAACTTGTACAACCACTCTGGAAATCAATCTGGCGCTTTCTCAGACAACTAGGAATAGTGCTTCCTCAAGATCCAGCCATACCACTCCTAGGCATATATCCAAAAGAGGCTCAAGTACACAAAAAGGACATTTGCTCAACCATGTTTGTAGCAGCTTTATTTGTAATAGCCAGAAGCTAGAAACAGCCCAGATGGTCCTCAACTGAAGCATGGATGCAGAAATTGTGGTACATCTATACAATGGAATATTACTCAGCAATGAAAAATAAGGAAATCATGAAATTTGCAGGTAAATGGTGGGACCTGGAAAGGATCATCCTGAGTGAGTTGTTCCAGAAGCAAAGATACACATGGTATATACTCACTCATATAGACATACAACATAGGACAAACCCACTAAAATCTGTGCATCTAAAGAAACAAAGCAAGAGAGAGGACCCTAACTAAAACGCTCAATCCCCATCCTGAAAGGCAAAGAGGATGGACATCAGAAGAAGAAGAAAACAGGAAACAACCTAGGAACCTGCTACAGAGAGCCTCTGAAAGCCAGAAGAAGAAAACAGGAAACAAACTAGGAACCTGCCACAGAGGGCCTCTGAAAGCCTCTGCCCTGCAGACTATCAAAGCAGATGCTGAGCCTGATGGCCAACTGTCCGGCTGAGTGAATGGAATTTTATGTAAGAAGTGGGAAATAGTAAGAGCTGGAGAGGACAGGGTCTCCACAAGGAGAGCAACAGAACAAGAAAGTTTGAACACAGGGAACTTCCCAGAGACTCATACTTCAACCAAGGACTATTCGTGGAGATGACCTAGAACCCCTGCACAGATGTAGCCCATGGCAGTTCAGTGTCCAAGTGGGTTACATAGTAATGGGAAGAGGGACTGCCTCTGACATAATCTGATTGGCCTGCTCTTTGATCACCTCCCCCTGAGGGGGGAGCAGCCTTACCAGGCCACAGAAGAGGACAATGCAGCCACTTTTGATGAGAACTGATAGACTAAGATCAGAAAGAAGGAGAGGAGAACCTCCCCTATCAGTGGACTTGGGGAGGGGCATGCATGCAGAAAGTGGAGGAAGGGTGGGTTTGGGAGGGGAGGAGGGAGGGGCTTATGGGGGGATACAAAATGAATAAAGTGTAATTAATAAAAAATAAAAAATAATAAAAATAAAAGAAAGAAAGTGCCAGATTGATTTCCAAAGTGGTTGTACAAGTTTATATTCCCTCCCACCAGCAGTGGAGGAGGGTTCCCCTTTCTCCACATCCTCTCCAGCATGTGTTGTCACTTGAGTTTTTGATCTTTGCTATTCTCATGGGTATAGGGTGAAATCTCAGGGTCATTTTGATTTGAATCTCCATGATGACTAAGGATGTTGAGCATTTCTTTAAGTATTTCTCTGTCATTCTATATTCATCTATAGAGAATTCTCTGGTTAGTTTTGTATCCAGCCACTTTATCAGCTGAACTAGTTCTCTGGATGAATTTTTGGGATCG